TGAGAATAACATCAAAGATAAAAGTCCATAAGTTAAATATTGAAGTCACAAGGAGAATCAACAGACCAAATCATAAGCTTGAACAGCCAAGGCAACTTTTTCATCTGCAATCCTGATGCTATGCTTTTGCTCATCTAGTGCTTCATCTGAGAATCTAATAAGTGAAGTATCTGGTGTAATATTTCCAGCCCTCACACCATTCTTGATATCCTCTATTTCTTGCTCACAACGTTGCTCATTTTGTCTCACAATTTCTGTTCATATACAAAGCATAAAAATGTGGTTAAGGCACAAATGAAAACAGGATAGTAGAAACAGGAAGCAAAGCCAAAATAGAAAACAAAGCCAGATATGTTACAATAACCATAACTTTACCTTTACATATAAAAAAGAAAACAAAAGGGAAAAAAAGTGCTTCATAACTAGATGCTGACACGGCATCACAAGTTTACACAGCCACATAAACCTGGGGTTCTGGGGGAGGGTATTGCAAAAAATTATGACCTTGATAACTGAACTCACATGATTAACTTGAAGTCAAAACAAAGGTCATATGTCACACAACAATGAAAGCATCTAGAGAAGACATTTTACTCTTTGGGCATTTGGAATTTTCACCTAAACCACTAGATGCAGCAGAAAACTAACAATAGAATTATGGTAATGAAGAAATGAAGGGAGCATTTACAAAGCAATAACTGTCTCTTTAAAGGATACCTTGCAAACTTTTGTCCAGATCACGGATCAATGCATACTTCTTTTGTAGAATATTTGGTAGTGATTCCAGATCTGTCCAAAGGCAAGACAGTAAACCTATTCAATAACCTAAAGAATGAGGATAAGAAATGTCATTAAGATTTGCCAAAATAAGGATGAAGAAAAGATGCCAAAATGATGCTGTTTTATTAAAAAAAATTTGCTTAAAAATTGACAACGCTCAATTTTCTCATATATTATTTTAAAAAACTATATTTTGAATTCAGACAGTAAATTCATAACAATCAATTAGGGGTCTTTAATTAGTGCAAACGATATTCTAGATTGCAAAATCACGCTATGAACCTATGATATTATTTAGTGTTCAAAAGATAAAAGAACTCAGAAGTTTTGAAATCATGGTACCTATGCTCACGTCAAATCCACGATTCCTGAGCTCTCTGTACTCTTGACAGAGAGCACATGGAAGGCAGCAGAAGTGGACCAGGCAGTCTGCACATGTAAGACTTCATATAATCATAATTATTTTCAATTTAAACTCATATTTTTTTTATTAATTCAGACTGAAGTAGATTCTCTGTTTAATCAAGTTATGATTCTTTTTTTTTTTTTTCACAATCCTTCAATTTATATTAAACTTGATAATTTTAACCTAAAATTTCAAATTTAAAGCTTTTGGATGATCAAAACATATATATAGTTCTTGATTAATTAATGAATTTACTAATTAAATTGGATTTTTTTTTTCTTTTGTAGCTTGTGCTTCGAGGGGTTTGCTGTTTCTAAAGTTCAATACGACACTGTACAACATTTTCAAAATTTGAACACATTTGAGTTGGAATTTGAACTATTTTTAAATCTATACTTGAGTATGTTTTTTAATGGAAAGTAAGTATTTTTAATTAATCTTAATAAAGTATATAATTTTGCTCATAAGACAATTTTTGTTTGTGGAAATATAATGATTCCTCCGCATACAATACCATTCCCTTCACAACTTTGTTGACCCATGCTTCGGAATGGCTAACCAAAGTTACTAGAAATTTCACCTAAAATACTCCTCCCTTCTAAAATTATTTTTTGAATCTGCATTTGTAGTTATACCTTGTTTTGTATATATTGATTCTTAATTGATCATTTTGTATTTATTTTGATATTTATTTGGAATAAAACATGAATTTTGACCGATTTTAGCAAATTTTATACATATGATAGATAGATATATAGTTGATAAAGGAGCATAATTTAGGAAAAAATTAATGGACCCAAGCTTAATATATTGGGCATTAGAAAATGAATTTACTTGGGTATTTTTCACTATTTTATAGAAGCTCATTTGGTAATATTGCTAGAGGTTCTTAACTTCTATAATTAGTAAAGATTTGGTCAATACCTATATTTTTGTCATGTGAGTTGAGGGAGATGAAAATAAATGCCAGGTTGTGGAATTTATTGTCAAGTCATGCCCAATAAGCACCAGGTAGCTCATGTTAACGGAATAATAGAAAGTCAAAAGAAAAGATGACATCATCTTTAATATAAGGGTTCATTTGCGGGTTTTTGTTAAGTAGAGAGGTGAATTTGCACTACTTTTAAATAGAAGGGCTGATATGTCACAATAGGTAAAGGGGCTGAATAGCACCTACTGCTTTAAAAGGAGGTCGTGCAACTCGATCGTATCATTTCCCATCCTTCACAATTCTGCTAATCAATAACCCAATTTTCCTATCAACCTTGTCTGTGACTCCCTCTCCCCACCAAAATGGCGGATGCTGTAGTTTCCTTTGTCCTAGAGCAGTTAAAGACAACCATCGTGGACAAGGCCTCTGAAGAGGTGGGGCTGCTAGTTGGTGTTCAGAAAGAAGTGGAAAAGCTTGAAAGAAATCTTCGTCTCATCAATACTGTTCTCCGAGATGCTGAGGAGAAGAAAAGAACGGACGATCTTGTCAAGGAATGGCTGGACAGGCTCAAAGAAGCTTCTTACGACATG